CCATCTTGGTTGGCAGTTAATTTGCATATCTCGCTGATTAGCCAATGGGAAGGGTAGTGAAGTTATGGTTAATTACCATGTTTGTCTATTATTAGATAGGAATATATATAGATGGGGGTGCACAAAAATTGTTGGAAATGTAACTACAGACTAGTAGGTTAGTAAGAGTTCTGAAAACTGTCATATAAAACATTGTTGAAGGGTTTTGGTCTGGAAACATGAGCACTTAAGAGAATATCTAGATATTTAAAGAGATGTATGGTGCTTTAGAAGGAAGGAATGAATATTTATTTATAGATCAATATAATAGTAATGGAGCATACTATATATAATACCTCCCAGTGACTGGAATTATGTATGTATATGTCAGAAAAGTAACATATTTTTACAGCTTGAATTGGATTACTTGTTCTTTTTCTTTTTTAAATTTAAAATTCAGCAAACAGGGTGAGGATTTCAAAAACAGCTTAACACTGTATATAAACCTAGATACTACAGTAATTCTGCCTCTTTGTTTCAGAGTGAAAATGGGATAAAGGAAAGAAAAAGGGCTATCTGAATAAGTATTCAACAGACAAAACCTAACTTCAGACATTATGGCTTGTATAGTTTGTAAACTGTACCAGCATTTGCTTTTTACCAAAACAAGCAATTTTAAGTTAAATTGCACATGGGATACTTTGCCAACTAATTTTCTATTATCTATCAATTTAATATGAAGTGTTTTTAACTGAATATTTTTCATGTGTTGTAAGTATAAAAGATTAGATGGAACTGTGAAAGAGTTATTTTTAAAAGAGATTTTTAGCCTTTTTCTTCTCATGAGGAGAAAGAATTCTAGGGAAGAAAGCTGACCTTAAAATACGCTATTATCACCCTAACCGGTTTGGCTCAGTGGATAGAGTGTTGGCCTGCGGACTCAAGGGTCCCAGGTTCGATTCTGGTCAAGGGCATGTACCTTGGTTGCGGGCACATCCCCAGTAGGGAGTGTGCAGGAGGCAACTGATCGATGTTTCTCTCATCGATGTTTCTAACTCTCTGTCCCTCTCCCTTCCTCTCTGTAAAAAAACCAATAAAATATATTTTAAAAAAAAATATGCTATTATCTCTCACTTGTCTACAAGTGGCATTTTAATACTTTAATAGGGTTTGATTTATGCTATGTGCTAACTACAAATAATATTTAAATTGTAGTGCATTAATTAAAATAAGGGAGTTGGCTAGTTTTTAGCCAAGAATTGAGTGAAACTTCTCTAGCATAATAGCAATGAATTTCTTTAATCTTTTAAAATATGCCCTGAGCACTTTACAATAGCTCTCCAACTATAAAAATAATAGAACTGCAGTTATTTTGTCATATTATTTGCTAACAATTTGTATTCCCCCAAATCATTTTTTCAGTGTGCATTTCAAGATCATAGTCACATATAAAATATCTGGGTTTCTTTACTTTCCCCCTCTTCTTTTTCATCTTTCCACTAACATGGACACTGGTATTGGTTTAACCTGTGGTTTTATTGAAACTCTTCATCCTAACAGAGCATATCCAGGGGTTGATTTATTTATTCAACAAACACCATTTAAGTGACCATTGTAAGACATACCAAGTGCTAAAGATACAGCAGTAAATAAGGCAGCCAACGGCCCCACTTCCATAGAGCTTACACTCTAGAAGGGAAAATACTACAAATAAAGACATGATTACAAGGGTAGTAGTAATGTGAGCACAGGAAAAGTAAAGGGTGCTGGAGAGTGGAAAAGATCTTAATGAAGTCCCATTTAACCTAAGGTCTGAAGGGATAGAATAATTTAGCCTAGTTTAAGTGGTGGTGGGTGGAAAGAGATGAAAAATCTTCGAAAATTTAGAGGTGAAGTAGCGCAGAGAGCATGAAAGGTGTCAAGTATGGGTGAGAGATCAAAGGGATAGTGTCAAGAAATAAGGCTGAAACAGTAGGCAAAGAAAGGGCCTTTCAGGTTTGCCAAAATTTACTTTATCTAGTGGGCTTTGAAATACACACACACACACACACACACACACACACACACACGTGCACACGAACACGATTTTTAATAGCAAGGGGACAATAGAATCACATTTTTCATCTCTAAGATCCCCTGCATATGAAATGGAGAAGGAATTTGAGAAGGACCAGAGTGAAAGTGAAAATAGTCTGGGAGACCAAAAGGATTATTATAATATTTCAGCCAAGAAATAATGGTGGCTGGGACTTAAGTAGTACAAGGTGGAATAGAGGAAAGAAAACATATTTGAGAGAGAGTTCAGAAGTATACTGTCAACAAGATTTAATGATGAGTTAGGCTTGGGAGCTAGAAAGAAGACTAAGGCAGAGGCAAGGATGGTTCCTGCTTAAGCATCTGATATGTATAGTGATGTGATTTTCTGCATTAGGCAAAACAAGATAGTGAACAGAATGAAATTTTTGTTTGTCTTGTGATAGGCCTGTTAGTTTTCAATTTCTCTGTATCACAAACTTAGCCATACAAAACAACACTCATTTATTGGCTCACAGTTCCATGGGTCAGATATCCAGCAGGTTTGACTGGGTTTTCCACTTAGGGTCTTATGAGGCCAAAATCAAGGTATAGGCGGGGCTAGGCTCTTATCTGGAGGCTCTGGGGGAGAAACTGTTTCCAAGGTCACTTAGGTTATTGATAGAATTTTGTTCCTTGTGATTGTAGGACTGACTTTCTCATTTTTACTGGCCATTGGCCAGGGCTTACCCTCAGCTCCTAGAGACCACTCTCAGGTTTTTTTCCAAGTGTTCCCCTCTGTTGTCAAACAAGCAGTGACATACAGAATTGCCCTCATTCTTTAACTTTCTGACTTGTATTCTGCTACCAGGTGTATTTTATAAGTCATTGCTTTATACTCAAAAGAGTTTAATATGACAAAATGAATGACGACATTATTCTTAAGAATTCTTTCCTTTGATACTCTTTTGGTAAACTTAGAGTTAGAAACTCAGTAGAACAGCTGCTCTCACCAGTAACAATAGCTAATACATAGCACTAAATATGGGTCAGTCACTGTTCTTAGTGCTTTACCTAAGCACTGTTTTTACTCCTGTCTCAAATGGGGTACAGATGAAGAAGCAAGGTGGTAGAGATTTATAAGATACACTAATTTATCCAAAGTACATACCAAGTCTGTGACATAATAGTTTTAGATTGCTGCAATGTGTTTTTAAAGAAGTTTATGTAATCTTTTTATTTTTTTAAAATATATTTTTATTGATTTCAGAGAGGAAGGGAGAGGGAGAGAGAGAAACATCAATTATGAGAGAGAATCATCGATCTGCTGCCTCCTGCACAGCCCCTACTGGGGTTCGAGCCCATAACCCAGGCATGTGCCCTGACCAGAAATCGATCCCATGGCCTTTTGGTTCATGGGTTGATGCTCAACCACTGAGCTGCACTGGCCAGGCTATGTAATCTTTTTCTGATCATTGTTACTGTGAATTAGTTGTTTTTTAAAAATATATTTTTATTGATTTCAGAGAGGAAGGGAGAGGGAAAGAGAGATAGAAATATCAACAATGAGAGAGAATCATCAACTGGCTGCCTTCTGCACACCCCCTACTAGGGATCGAGTCCGCAATCTGGGCATATACCCCGACTGGAATCGAACCCTGGCCTTCTGGTTTATAGGTCATTGCTCAACTACCTGAGCCACACATACCAGGCTGCGAATTAGTTTTTAACATAGGCTAAGTCTCTTACTTTCCAAAAAGAGAAATAAATGCCCTACATAAGTAAAGCAATGTGATAAAAAGGATGTAATATAAAAGTTGATGTCTTTTGGAAAAACCAAGATGGCGGCATAGGTAAACACCAGAAATTGCTGCCTTGCACAACCACTTCAAAAAAACAACTAAAAGACAAAACGTACATCATCCAGAACCACAGGAAGGCTGGCCGAGTGGAAATTCTACAACTAGAAGGAAAGAGAAAAGCACACCGAGACTCAGAGGAGGTGTGGTGTGGAAGTAAAGTGCAGAGGTACGGAGGCGCATGCGGAAAGGGCTGGCAACTGAGGACACAGCTGTCTTTTTCAATCGGGAGGGAGACACAAGCTCCCGACTGCTCTGAACGCCAGGTCCGGGCGAATCTCTGGCGTCCCAGACTCATACGGGGAGAAACTGGACTGTCTGGCATTGGGCAGAACTCGAGGGCGGCTTTCTCTCAGAGGCACCTGCAGCAATTACCATGGAACAGTGAGACCTGGGTCCTGTTAGGGCAGGGCTGAGGATCAGCCATAGCTGTTTGCTCCGCCCTGTTGATTCCCTGAGACCCCGCCCCACCCAAGCTGTGCACAGAGGCTTTTGCATATGAATGGACTGACCCTTTGCAATCTAAAACTACCTAACAAACTGCAGCTGGGTCAGACAGACCCAGAACTTCCAAAAGAAGGCCCAAGGCCCCAAAGCAGCTTGCATTGCTTCACAGCTGGGCCTCATCTAGGCACCTCCAAACAAAGAAAAGGAAGTTGCAGATCTCTCCGTAGCTCCTGCTGGGTAGCCTCAGGCAGAGGCTAAATTAGCACCTCCTTGAGATCCAAGAGCCAGTATACCCAGTGGTCAGAGTGGGACCATCCAGATTACAACTCCTCAGATCCATAAGGGACACACTCAGGGGGCAGACTCAGTGAGCACCAAAGCCCCACTGAAGCAAGTCTTGCCCCAGAAGGGTGTCTTCAGCACAGAAGTTCTCCCACTGCAGACACAGCTGATTCTCACTGCCAATTGGCCTGGAGGTCAATTCCTCCCAGTGACACCTAAAACAATCAAGGCATAACTACAACAAGACTGTGCACAAAGCCCACAAGGGGGTGCACCAAGAGTGTCCACCTCAGGTAACTGGGGAGGCTGAGCCACTGGGCCCTGTAGGACACCTAGCACACAAAACCACTCTACCAACACAGGGAAGCAGACAAAATGCGAAGACAAAGAAACAGGTCACAAATGACAGAAATGGAGGACAGCAAACGACTGGATATAGAGTTCAAAACCACGTTTATAAGGTTTTTTAAGAATTTTATGGAAACCGCCGATAAATGTATTGAGATCCTTAAGAAATCTAGTGAGACCCTCGATGTTGTGATAAAGGACCAACTAGAAATTAAGCATACACTGACTGAAATAAAGAATATTATACAGACTCCCAACAGCAGACCAGAGGATCGCAAGAATCAAGTCAAAGATTTGAAATACGAAGAAGCAAAAAACACCCAACCGGAAAAGCAAAATGAAAAAAGAATCCAAAAATACGAAGATAGTGTAAGGAGCCTCTGGGACAACTTCAAGCGTACCAACATCAGAATTATAGGGGTACCAGAAGAAGAGAGAGGGCAAGATATTGAAAACCTATTTGAAGAAATAATGACAGAAAACTTCCCCTACCTGGTGAAAGAAATAGACTTCCAAGTCCAGGAAGTGCAGAGAACCCCAAACAAAAGGAATCCAAAGAGGACCACACCAAGACACATCATAATTAAAATGCCAAGAGCAAAAGACAAAGAGAGAATCTTAAAAGCAGCAAGAGAAAAAAAGTCAGTTACCTATAAGGGAGTACCCATACGACTGTCAGCTGATTTCTCAACAGAAACTTTGCAGGCCAGAAGGGAGTGGCAAGAAATATTCAAAGTGATGAATAGCAAGAACCTACAACCAAGATTACTTTATCCAGCAAAGCTATCATTCAGAATTGAAGGTCAGATAAAGAGCTTCACAGATAAGAAAAAGCTAAAGGAGTTCATCACCACCAAACCAGTATTATATGAAATGCTGAAAGGTATCCTTTAAGAAGATAAATAATTTGATGAACAGAATAAACTGGGGAATATAATAGAATCAGGGACATAGAAAGGGAGTGGACTGACAATTCTCAAGGGGAAAGGGGTGTGGGGGGTTCGGGAAGAGACTGGACAAAAATCATACACCTATGGATGAGGACATTGGCAGGTGTAAGGGCAGAAGGTGGGGTGGGAACTGGGTGGAGGGGAGCTATGAGGGAAAAAAGAGGAACAACTGTAATAATCTGAACAATAAAGATTTAATTAAAAACAATAAAATATATCTTAAAAAAATAAAAGTTGATGTCTTTTAAATGTGATATAATGAAACCCTGCAACAAAATGTGCTCTGCTGATTATATTAATTTAATCATTGACTTCTTTGACTTCTAACCTTCATAGTAAACCATTTGTCAGTTCATCAACCTCTCAATGCAACTGTATTTTACTTATTGAATGTTTTGGACTTCATTTAATGTATTTTGTTGGGCTTTAACTTTATTACTTCATATGAGTTTAAAGTAATCCATGTAGGCTGTGCATTATAAAACTTCAGAGGGCACTGCTCACATAGACTTGCAACCCTGTAGCCATCTATTGAGAAGCTTCGATAAATCTAAATATAATTGGGTGGGGGGGGGGTGCGACACATTGAAGTTTAACATGATGAATGACTTGTATTAGCACAATTTTTCTTTTATTTGCTACCTGTTTTCTGAAAACAAACCCAGAGGCTAAAATTTGTTTTATTGTCTTTGCAGGCGAGGAATTGCCTTAGCCTCCTTAGGAGGCCCAATTTATGCAATTGGAGGGCTAGATGACAACACTTGCTTCAACTACGTGGAGAGATATGACATAGAATGTGATCAATGGAGTACAGTGGCACCAATGATTACTCCCCGTGGAGGAGTTGGCTCTGTGGCTCTAGTAGTAAGTTATATGGCAACTTGCTCATTGGACTGCATTGCATCATATCCCTAACCAAATAAGGAATGATCTGGGATATTCATATCTTCAGTATGCACATGTTGATTATACACCATATTATTTCATGAAATGCTGCTTTCTTTCAAGATTCTGATTTACTCTTAGGATAATGTATAAATCAGTTAAAAAACTAATGTGATATGTTTTTTATTTTCTCTTTACATAGAACCACGTTTATGCAGTAGGTGGCAATGACGGAGTAGCTTCTCTATCTAGTGTGGAGAGATATGATCCACATCTGGATAAGTGGATAGAACTTAAAGAGATGGGTCAACGAAGAGCAGGCAATGGAGTCAGTGATCTCCATGGTTGTTTATATGTTGTTGGTGAGTAGATAATATTTCTCTGGTCTAATTTATTACAGGATATACAATAATCTTGTGTGTGTGTGTGTGTGTGTGTGTGTGTATGTAT